GTCGGTAAGTTTCTTCATTCTACTCTCCAAACTCCCAAACTCAACCATATTCCACTCCTTAAGTCTCGTTTTAAGGCCGCGCAACTTTTCCTTAAGAACGAAACCCATCCATCCCGTCACCTCGGTCTCCCTCCACCAATCTTCCACCACTTTATTGAAAAGATTGTGACCAAGCCAATTATTGTTGAATCTAAATGGTTTAGGTCCCCAATCATTATTTACATTCTTCAACACAAGTGGACAATGATCCGAAACATCCCGGGGACAAACCCACAACGTACAATCCCCCCATAACTCCAACCACTCCGAGGACACAAGAAATCTATCAATTCGGCTCATAGAAACCCCATTGGTATGATACCAAGTGAAGTGACGACCCAATAGCGAAAGGTCAATAAGTTCCGAATCTTCAATGAAGGCACCAAAATCTCTAATCTCCATATTCGAAGCAACTTCTTCACCCACTCCCCTACGTTCCTCCGGCGCACACACCGCATTAAAATCCCCCACCACACACCAATTCCCACTTCCGAAACCGGCTTTTGACATTTTAATATTATTCCACAATCTTCTTTTGGAAGCAAGATCGCATTTAGAATAAACATTCACCACATAACATTTGGTCTTCGAGGCCCCCCATTCAACACACACGCCAACAAACCCTTCTCCCACAAAAGTAAAAATAAGAGAAGAATTTATGTTACTCCAAATTGATAAAATACCTCCACTAGCGCCTTCCGACGGAAGAAACGCCCAACTATAATAATCATCTCCTTAGCAAACCCTTCTCCCACATAATAATCATTGATTACCATTCCTTAGCTCCCATTCTTGTTTCTTCGATCTATCTCTCCTTTCATCTTCAGACAAAGCTTTAATCACATCCCCATCAATTTCATGATAATTGAAGCCCACATGTTTTTGCAGAAGAAGAAGTTTTTTAGCATCTGCATCTACTTGAGTTCCAATATTATTACCCTCTAAAGAATCTTCAACCACCATAATAGGCAAAGCAACATCCAAATTCAGACTCCCTTGGGTATCCGAAACTCTCGAATTCTCCTCCTCAGCATGTATTTCAGGTTCAGGCAACACAGAAGCCGAGCTCGACCCCCCCTCACTGACATCGTGAGTCCGTTGTGATGTTTCAGCCCCACCGGCACTCTTCCGATGCCTGCGTTTACCTCCTCCATCTCTCATCGCCGCCGCCAATTGAATAAAATTCGGTACCCCCATACAGGCCGGGTTCGAGCGAATCTTCGAATTTCTAGACCTTCCGCGCCGTTTCACTTTGGTGGAAACAGAAACACGAGAATCCTCTTCATCCTCCTCTTCAGAATTTCTATTTACCCCTCCTCTGACTTCTACTAGAGAGATAGAATCAGAAATCTCCTTTTCTGCATTTGCAACTAGACCCAATTCATCATTTGGCCCACCACGCATGGGTCGGGTAGGTGGTAGTGAACTGGATCTGAACCGGGTCGTACGATATCTTGGATCCCTTAATTCAGTCCTAATTTGAAATTCTGCTGGCCCACCTATCTGACACGCGTGCACTCCAAAAGCCTCCCCTTTCTCCAACAAACTCTCACCCGCGCCGTCCTTATCTTCTTGTAAATCAACACAAGCCACGTGATTCTCAACTAAACTCTCCCTCCCTACCACCTTTTGACCTGACATACACAAAAATAACTCCTGTTTTTTCTGTGGCTCAAAAGTAGAAGATTGTTTCTTTCCTCTAACTTCCAAAGACATATCACCATCACCATCTAGATGATGTTGACCAGTGGGATAGTCAACTTCACCATCCTCCTCCGTATCCTCAACAGAACCACCATGTCCACCGCCCATCATCACCATCGCATCTCCAGGAAAACGCGACGATCCTCCCCAACTAACCTCCTGACCTTCGTACTCAAGCTGCTGCACCT